GGCAGCGGAGGTGCAATTCAGAGTAGTCAAATCAGCTTTGTTTGTACTTTAAATTTGTTGGGAGAGCAAATGCTGCACTCAGATTTACTTAGCTGTACTTTAAAGTAACAATCAGTCATGTTTTTTAATGTAAACTACTTTCTGTGTTGCTACCTTCAGTTGTTATTGGTATAAAACAACACATATGCTTGAAAACTCCACTTGTGCACAGACATTTAGGGGTTTTATAGCAACTATAACTGTGTATTTTTATTTGTAGTATTCGTGTTCAAGTTAGAACAACTGAGAATAAAGGAAAAAACTTTATTGACAGAAATAGCTGCCAGAACAGGCCACATTCAAGGTAGATAAGTTCAGAAACTCATTGATACAAATCGAATATACCACCAAAATCAAGCAGATCTTGCAGCTGACCCCTTTACATAATGCAATGTACATTTTCCTCTTGATGACAAAGGAGGCAGACATCTTTAAGACAATTAGGTTGTGATCTAATTTACAGTAAACTGATTGCCTCTCATCGTCATGTTATTATTAAGAGACAGATGCGTGACAGTTGGTCAATAAATCACTCAAGCAAAAATGTGTGAAGGTCAGACAAGCACATCTTGGAAGAGATGATGTTTTGTCTCTACTCATGCTAATAAATGCTCCTTTAATCTTTGCAATCGTTACTGGATTTGGGGAAATTGGGAGTTTTATCACCAGTGTATTCCCCGACCAAGGCATAAGTCATGTTGTCAAATCAAGAGGGGGATTAAATATCTGACTGTCCAGGTCAAAACAGACCAGGAGTCCCATATATGAAGCCAGTGTCCTTGCTGTAGTGGCCACAGCTTTGATTCCATCCTGTGGCCCTTTGCTGCCCCCTTTCACACTAGACAGTCCTATCTGATAAGGGCAAAAATCCAAATAAATAAATAATAAAATGAAAAATAAATAAATAAATAGAGATCCCCATCCAACTGAGTCAAGTAATTCTAACATAAAACATAAAAACTACCATTCATGTAATCAAATCAAATAAAACTGAATAAATAATGAAAATGTATGCAACTATAGCTCAAAGAAATTACCAAATTCACTTTAATAAAGTTTATGTAATAACTGGTAATAAATTATATATGCATCTTAAATATGCTGATCAATTTACTAACAATAATTATATAAATATTACTATGTAAATTATGTAAATTCTATACTCAATAGTTACAAAAATTCTCATAGTTTATTCATCACAGATTTATTTTATTTGATTTAAATACATAAACATAATAATAATAATAATAATAATAATAATAATAATAATAATAATTATTATTATTATTATTATTATTATTATTATTATTATTGTTATTGTTTTATTTTATTTTATTTTATTTTTTTAATTCTATTTAATTTAATTTAATTTAATTAATTTATTTATATATTTATTAATTTATGTCTGAATTATTTTACTTAATTGGATGGGAATTTTATACTTACTGAAATATGTAAAATCTTACAAAACACAGTAGGTGTAATATCAGTTACAATAATTAATTATATAATATTTTCTCCATTGTGTAAGTGGGTCACATGGATTGTGTTGGGGAAAAAAAAGCCACAGAAACACTTTATGAGCATCATCAAACACATGAAGACTGGACATAAATAACAGAAAGAAAATTTGGATTGTCTCACTGCGATCTCATTGTCCGAATTTACTGAAGTTTGCTCGTGTTATTAATAAGGTTATTAATCAAGGCAAGTAACCAGAACATCATATACCTCACTAGTTTCTGAGTATAAAGCTGCTTGTGAAAAGTTTCATGCTCCAAAGCTATGCAATATCCTCCACACAGAAAAATTTGAGTTTAAAGTTCATAACCTGTAGTTAATTTCCTCACCAGAAGATGGACACGTTTCACAAAACATATGAACTGAATGAATATTAAACTACATTGTAGTAAAATCTAGTCTAACTTTACACTTGTCACTTCATTTTTGGGATTTACTCTGTGTTTTCAAAATTCCCTGGCTGTTTGTAAGAGATATTAAATTCAACATATGTTTGAATTTGGATCAAAGGGTTATTTCCCAAAAGAGGTAAAAATATCAGTGAGCTCGGCCCACACACTAGCTGTGTGGAGAAGCCAAAACAGGATTAAAAGAAAAGACCACCAAGCTAATAGACAGCTCTATTCTTATTGTGTCACAACAATTTTCTGCGAGCACTGGATTATTTATGTCTCTCACGGTCAATGTGTCCATAAAATGCTGCTGCTGCTGTTACTGCTGCTGCTCATAAAGTCTCATCTGCTTCTAATAATTATACGAGTCTGTGGTGTATTAGTGGTTAGAGGTAGTAATAACAGGAGTAATGTCGGTATGTGGGCTTCAGCATCCAGAATGTCACATGGCTGCCATCTGCTGGACCATTAGCACATTACAATATATACTCCAGCCCTCAGTTTTTACACAATGACACTAAAGAAATAGTTCATATCTTTTTAGGGCACAATGTGGTTTTACTTTCTTAAAGAGATAGTTCGGATCTTTTAAAGAGGGCTTGTATGAAGTGCTAATTCATAGTCAGTGTATTACTGACAGCAGATTTCAGTCAGCACATCCCCGGTTTGGAGAAGCGGGCTGGAGTCTGACACAGGAGTGAAACAATGTGATGTCATGGAGGGGTCAGCAATAAAACAAATTAAAGCCACCTAAAAAAAAAGTCCCACCTAAAAATAATAAAAATCACTTTAAGTGTTGCTATTTGAATATTTTCACTGCTATACCTCACCATCAGAGAGAGGTTGACTACAGAGAACTGATGCTGTTATGTTGCTTTCTTCAAAGCCAGACTCCATTGAGAAAAACAGCAATTTAACATCAATGAACACTGGAGTTGCTGCATCCATCAGTTATTTGGTTTGTGTTATTGTGTGACTTTGGCTTTTATATGGCTTCATTCTGATTCACCAATGTCACGCAATAACACTACCTAACTAAGTGATCAAAGCAGTGGTAGACGAGCAGCTCCCGTGTTCAGCGAGCTTAAATTACTGGTTTTGTCAGTGGAGTCTGGTGGCTTTGATGAGAGCATAGATGGGACATAAAAAGACAGAACTAATGTCTACACATCAGTGCCACCACCAATGAATTTTCAGTTGCACTGTATGACAAAAAAAAAATCTGTTCTGGCCCTTTAATCCTAGATTACATTATTGTCTAAACTGAGGCGGTGTGTATAATTCTTTATTTAGTGTGTGTTTTCTCAATTTTAATAGATATATTTTAGTTGCAAATATCATCATCACTCTCCTATTTGAAAGGTACATATATAGTGTCAGTAACTGCAAATACAAATACAGGACAAAGGTTTTTGGGACCTTGGAGTCAAAGGGCTAAAACACATATTCATATAATCAGTTCTATGCTGGATTATGGTGTTTTTAATGTCTTTATCCTTGTTGTTGTTGTTGTTGTTGTTGTTGTTGTTGTTGTGTGTTGATGTTTACTATGTATTTCCTCTCTGTTTGAATCCCCTGATCCTCTTGCAAACCCGTGTGTGTGCATAACTTTGATGAATGTATGCCTAAGTTGGAAACACTTTCTCTCGATTTACTTCAACTTTCCGACCCCCTAAAAAGATGCCGCTGCCTCCAGAGAGCGTAAACAAGTCTGGTTTCCTAACCCGGCTTTCAAAATAAAAGCACAGCAGGACTGTCATCCTCTGAAGAGGACAAATATTTAGTGGATATATTGCTGGCAGCAGGGAAAAGGCTCTGACCAGAGAATGGATGATGCATGTTGACCCTACTATAGATAGCTGGATAGATGTAACAACTGAGATGTACATGATGGAAAAGGTTACTTTCTCTTTAAACCCCCAAATGGACATTTTAATACAGCAAAGGGGAAAATGGGTGCAATATGTCAAACATCTGAGACCTGATTTTGTTAAGGTAATGAACTGGAGCAATGTCCTTAACACTGTATTCCCGTATTGTATTCTCTTCCATGTCCAAATCAAGGAAAAAGAAAAATCATATTTTCCTTAGTCCAAATATCTCACTGTAACATGTGTGCAATTATGTGAAGCCAAACTGCCACAAGCATTTTTATTTTATTTTTGTTGTCACCTCTATCTGTCTGGATGTGTATGTTATGGCTCTTTTTGTCATAGCCATTCCTTGAAAACGGAAAAAAAAATAGATTATGAGTCAGTCTAACTGAAAACAAGACTGAGATTTGTGGTACATGATCCTTTCTTACTCCATTATTTTAATTTTTTACTCTTGGCTTGAGAACAGTATTGACTGTGCATGTGATAATGCATTTCGAAATAAAATGATGAAATTTTTTTTTTCTTTCAGTTTTTCTTTTATACCCTCAATATTTTTTTACTTTGGCTTAGTATTTATTGTATGTCTCTGTCTAATTTTGTATATTTTCTTCAGTCTGCTTCTATGTCCTGCGTTTGGCTTTACTTGTTATCACCACATTACACAATAAAATAAATAAATAAATAAATATAAATAAAAGGAATAATATAAGGAATATAATAATATAGTATAATATATAAGAAAATAGAATACATCAAAATATAATTATAGAATAAATATTAGTAATCAAATAAAAAATAAATTAATTAAATATATTTAAAAAAAAAACAACAACAAACAATAAAAATTGTATTATTTCAAACAGTATGTTTCGAGCCTTTTCCCCCAAACGCATGTCTGGTCCTCTAAGGGTGGGACATGATAAATTATTAACAGCAATAATAACAGAAAAACAATGTATAATTGATTGGTTCATGGTTGCTGTTATAATTACAGAGTGAAGAAACACTGTTACTTAAAAATAATGTTATATTATTATAGTGTACTGATATAGGAAGAGGGCGGACACGTGGAAAAAAAATCTCAGATAATCTCATATTTATCACGTTTCCCACCAGTCGAGCAATTATTTTGAAAAGCTTATCCAACCGGAAGTCTCCCGTTAAACTTTTACAGCTCCACACAGACACAAAGCAGTGAAGGCTATGGTGGGTGAAGACGTGCACGGACCTCCAGCGAGCTCATTCCCACTGTGACTGACCTGCAGCGGTGTGTAAATATACATATCTCCTGTCGTGACAAGATGTCTGTGAACGAGGTGTACGTGTTCCGACCCTTCAAGCTCATCGCGCTGCTGTGCGTCTTCCTGGCGCTGTGTTTGGACGTGGTGGCTCTGCTCAGCCCAGCCTGGGTCACTGCGGACCATTTCTCCCTGTCTCTGTGGGAGTCCTGCTCCCAGTCCGAGGCACGGCATCCGACAGAGGAGGGTCAGTGGAGCTGCTTCTCCACCCTCACATCTGGTAGGAATCAGTGCACCTCTTTGGCTGTTTTTAACTTTCTGTCTTTTGGAGTTAGGATGCTGTGATTCTGTTGGAGAGAGGGTAACCAGACACTGTGTGAAAAGCTGTGATCTTGAGGTTGTAGCACTGTAAAGTACTTTTTTTGGGGGGTAAAATTGCCATTAATGTGATAAATTGCATAATCCTTAAAGCACTGGTAGTTGTGCCATTTAACTCTGCATGGTTTTAAAGCAGCATGTTATCAGTGGCACTTTTCAGAGTCTCTTATTAGGACTGCACAGAGGCTGCACATCCCATGTTTGACAAAAACAAAGAGGAATGTTTGTTGAACTGTACGAGCAGACTGGCAGCTCTGGCCACTGTCTCCCAGGATGAGTTTGTTTTAGTTGGCTTGTTTGTGCAGCAGCAGCAGCAGCTGAGGCATTCAGGGTTTCTTATGCTGCTGATACATTTCCTCTGTTCATACCAGAGCAGTGACGTGTGTCACTGTGACAAACACACTGTGATGCTCAGCAATGGGTTTGACTAATTCTTGAGCAAGAGCTTGAATTAAAATCATGTTCATTGTTCAGTTATCAGTATTTTAGTGGTATTATAAAATATTTTAAAAGGCAGTTAACATATCATTGTTACATTTTGATTCTAAATGAGTGACATTGATGCTTTACCGTTATTTCAAGGTCATGTCAAGTAGTTTAGGGACTGTTCGTTACTTATGAGAGGTGAGGGCTGACGCAAAAAGGGATAGGCATGTCAAAAAGTTTTTTAAGCACTTGAGAGGGATTTTTTATATTGGCTTAATAGAGGGGTATACACATTTAAATGACTGTATTTTGGGGTGCGTTCACACCTGCCTTGTTTGGTTTGGTTCAATCAAACTCAAGTTCCTTTGCCCCCTAAGTGCGGTTTGTTTGGGCAGGTGTGAACACAGCAACTGACTCAGGTGTGCACCAAAACAACCGGACCGAGACCTTCTTGAAGAGGTGGTCTCAGTCCCGTTACAAATGAACTCTGGTGTGGTTCGTTTCTGGTGAGAATGTGTTCCGACCACGATCTGAACCAACTGCAGTCACATGACACATTGTTTGGGTTAAACATGAGCATGTTACAGTCCTGGAGGATTATTAATGTGCACCTCCTCCTGTACTGCCTTAATATGCACATTCAGCACATCCAATGCATCAAAACATTGTTTTCTAGTTGGAGCTGCGCCTCGATTTCAAACTGTATGGTTTGACTAAAATGAACAAAATGCACAAAAGCAATATAGTCCACGATGAGCAGCGCTAAAATCAACCTGCATAGTTGTCCCTCCATTGTGACATTAGAAAGTGTCACATTTATCTTACAAGGGTACTCTTCTTCAACGTTTTGTTTACTTCCTGGATTTTTCCCACATGGAAATTCTGACCAATCAAGAGCAGCTTTCTCACACAAGGCATTTTATCTGGTCCGCTTGTAAATGCTGTCGTGAGAACATGAACCAACTCTAGGCAGTTATGAAACTTTGTAACAAAATTAGTCCCTGATTCAGACCAAAGCAAGACAACTCTAGATTTTCTTTAAAAGTCGCCCACATTACACCATTTATTACAGCCAGAAACAGAAATTATCATTTGATTTTAAATTTCCGGTGGTCCTTAAACACATCAAAATCAACGATCAAATCTGAGCTTTAAACAGTTATATTTCATCAAAATGGCTTTATTTCTCATTAAGATTTGGCCCAACCAGCAGGCATGACGAGTGAAAAACCAAGACCTTTTTCAACTCCAGGATTTCATCTTCAACTTTTAACTTCAACTCTCAAACATCAAAGGGTATGTTGTAAAAATCTAATTACAAATTTATGGTGGAGGGAGGATCAGGCATTTTCTGCAAGTCACTTAGGGAGGCTCACGGAAAAATATTTGTAGCGTCAGGGAGGGTCAAAATGTAAAGAAAAAGGGGAAGAAGTCACACCCCAGCCGCCCCCAACCTCTGATAAACAAAGAACAGTCCATTAGGATGAGAATTTACAGAAAACTGAGCATGTGCATGTAGGAACATCATCTCTTTGGCACACAAAGAGTTAACCCACTCACACCACCAGAAGGCTTTGAGTGGTTTTGAAGAGACACATTCAGCATCTTCCCCATCATCCACCTCACCACGCCTGGACCCACCAGGTTGCCTTTTGTCAAGCAGAGAAACCACATGACGGGAGTGTTTATGCCTCCAACCCCCACCCATGCCCCACCAGGGGAGGAAATCCTCATTAAATGTACCAGATTTACCAGCATTTGGCTGGTGGCTGCTGAAACAGTGGCTTGGCTTGTTATTATCTGGAGCTGCGTCTCTATTAAACATAGCAGCTGATGGAAATAGTTATAAAAAGGCTTGGGGCAAACCATGTAAAATTGAAACTAAATTTAATGATCAATTTGTAGTTGTGTTCTGTTAGTTGCTGAAAGTATGTTAAATATTTTAGATTTTAGTTGATCATTAATTTCATGAAGCCTGGGTGACCTTTGGTGCCATTTTACACACAGCGTCAAAGAGGGAAACATCCATGGGGGTGACTGACCGCTCTGATACTGAGGAATGTGTTGGGGTGAATAGGAGGCGGGTTGTTGCTTTGAGTGTCTGCATAGCTCATTACAGCAACAGTGGAGGGGTGTGTAGAGGTTAAAGGGCCAGTTCACCAAAAGGCAAAGCACATTTATAATGCACACATTCTCATACCATGTCCCAGGATTCTTAAATTTCAGCCCATCTTTGGAGTGACGTAACCGAGTAGACACATTTCAATGCAGAATAAATTGCGAGCGACTGAAATAATGCAGATGAAAACAGTGTTATGACTCGCAGCCTCAGTGAGCGGTAGAAAAATACACTTGTGATGTGAGCGTGCAGTTTAATATTCTTTGAAGGGAGAGTGGGTTTTTTTTTTTTCAGACTAAACCAGAATTTTAACCACATAATGGAGCAAAGATGTTGGACAAAAAATATTTCCTGCAGGCTGAATCAAATTGAATTCAGATGTGACATTGGGGAATTTTTTAAAGACAATTAAATAAGGAGCTGTGAGGGAGGCAGACACACCCATCAAATGCAAATTCTTCCCTTGAGTCAAGTCTTTGGAGGTTAGGCCTCCTTCTGACACTGACAAGTGGGACATCAAAGAGCTAACTCACAATGCAGGCAGAAATTAAAACATTTTCCTGAATGCATCTCTGTTTTCACACTCTGTATCAAGGCTTTACTGCACAGAGAGTTCAGCTCAGCTCAGTTAAGCTTTGAAATGCGGCGTTTCAATGACCCGGTGTTGTGTAGGTCTTTCCAAGGAAGAATCTTTTGACGCAGAGGATGCGATGACTTAAACTTTTCCACCCGGAGCAGCTAGAGTTGTTTGGAATAAACAGAATTAATGTGGTGTTAAAAGGCCACCATGGTTGAGCCGACATGGAAAAGGCTGACAGCCACAGGCAGAATCTCCAAGGAGATGTCACAGTATTGAACACGCTGACTTACATGTGATATTTTGCAGTACAAAAGCACCACAGTAACCATTAGCTGGCACCAAGAATTTCACCAAAATAGACATTTTTTAGTGATTACTAATAGTGAGAGGTGGATGGATTCACAAGATCGGTTCCTTAGAGTCGATTTGTGTAAATGTATTAAACCTTTTGACTTTTGGTACTTTTTGCAAAATATGGTGTTTATGTGACAGCTCGTGCGGCCCTGCCACAAAACTTCTCTTTAATGCATTACGAGTCATTATGTATGAGTTTACATTAATTAAGATAAAAATATTTATTTAAATGCCTTGCTTCAGCATCTTACTTATATGTAGGTCAGCAATGTAAGCTCAATACGGTGTTACTGAAACATCAACGATCAACGATCTGTCATTCTTTGAGCGTAAAGTAGCAGTTGTTATGGTTACCTCCGCAGCTTCGTGCAGCATGGTGTCAGAATAATCCAAAACATGAGTAGGTGATCATATTTAATGGCTCACCTGATCTGTTTCCTTTGCTTTTCATTATCAAGGTGTTTTTAAAATACTTTAAGGAATAAAATACAACACGTCTTCTTTGTAGCATCCGTATTGTTCCCACATTACAACTTAAACAGGGCGGCTGCAGGCCTTTAAAAAGTCTTAAAATGTTTTTTGGTGACATCACCAATATAATTTTTGGTGTTGGTGTTCTAGGAAACATGATTTTAACAGGAGGGAAACACTATTTGACGGGGTACCAGACTTCGGCACAACACTTGTATGTGCGTTATGCCCCTATTTTTGCCCCCTCAGTGCAATGAATCTGCATCATTAAACTAGGACCTTGAAAGCTATGAAAAATGGGAAAATGCAAGTGCAAAGACAAATAGCTTAAAAGAACAACAATTACTTGTGGTGGTTAAAGCCGGTGCAAACTAGGTACAATGGGGATCAGATTGGGATCAAACAGAATGATCACAGTAGTAAGATATTTGAAAAACTGAAAGAATGAAATGGAAAGAACACCATGCAGGTTCACAAAAGGGTGTGTCTGTGACAACCAATCACACCTGTTAAAAGAATACATTATACCTAGCGACAAGGTCAACCACACCTCCTCACTAGGATAAAAGTTTATGTCCCTTCCTTGCTCAGAGTTGCTCCGAGAACGTTCCTAAATCACTCCTTGTCTAGGACTCCTAACTAAAAATTTTTAGGCTAAGTTAGGAGCTCTCTGAGAGTATTCTTAAAATGTCTGTGAACACGGCCCCAGGGCAGTGGCATCACACATGTAGAGCTGTAAGCACAGGGTCATTTTAACTTTACTATTCATTTTGAACCGACACCAATGTGTTTACTTGGAAAGAGTATATTTTCACTTTTGGTGGATATTTCCATCACAAGTGAGGTCTTAAATTCTGTTTAAAGTGGTATTAAAAAGATCTTAAAAGGCCTTGAATTTAGCTCGTTTATACCTGTAGACACCCTCAAGCTCATGAAGAGACCAAACCTGGAAGAACAACCATCTGAGGAGCACATGAATGCACCATTGACCTTGATTGGCAGAGGTCTTGACTTGAGGTCTTGTCCTATAGCCTCTCTTTTACTCGCCATAGTTGGCAGTGTGAGCAGTACCTTACAATAACAGCAAGTGGAGTGGGAACAGCTTGGGATGAATGTGCACCAGGGCGTTTGACAGACTGCTCCAGTACATAACAGACATTAAGAAAAGTCATTCCAAAGACATTATTCGTTCATCATCGCCCAGCGCTAATTTCTAACTTAATTTTGCTTTAAAGATCAGCCTTGATGGAGACAGATGAGCGTTGAATAATGTTCTGCAAATAGCTGCTGAAACTCAAGAAAAATGCGTATAGAAAGATGTAATCAGAAACTATCAGTAATGTTCATGGGTGTGAGAGAGTAAGTGCAGGAGAGGCCAACTTACACTGAAGCACAGCACAATATGGAGATTTATTTTTGCTTCCCCATATTTTAAAGGATACAATTTGCAGATATAGGCAGCAAATATAAATTTTAACCCTCGAAACATGTATCTAATACTTGTAATAACATGTAGCCACATTCTTGTGTGTTTAATCTGTTTAGTGTGATTACAGCGTGAGTGATCAGGTCCCCATGTCTCATGCAGACCTGAGTCCATTCTGCTTCACTCACTTTACTCTGAGGGATTAGCTCTTGTTTTGTGTTTGTCAACACAGCGGTTCAATTCAACGGGGCCGTCCTGTGAATCGAGCTTTTGTTGCTGCACTCTAACCTGCATGTGTCTCGTCCTGCAGACTGGCAGATTGCCACGCTGGTGCTGCTGGTCGCCGGTGCTGTGGCAACTCTGGTGGCCTTCCTGGTGGCCCTGATTTCCCTCTGCAGGGGGACACAGAGACGGCACTACCGCACCGTGGCTGTGTTCCTCTTCACTGCAGGTACGCTTTTCTCCTCCTTTCTATCTCTTTACCACCAAATGTTCTTAAATCATTTTCATATTTTGCCCTGTGCGAGTGTTTATCCAATGTTCCAACACATCATGCACATTTGGAAACAGAAAGATGGCACATATACGTTCACTGCGACCACAACAATTTCCATATAGAGAGGGATTGGGGCTTTTTTTGTTCCAGTGCTCAGATTATATAGAAGGGTGCAGAAGGAAAGAAGCAGCTGAATGAGGCATGTTGGGTTGAGCTCATTCCTTCTGTGGTGTGGAGTCTGGGGAGCTGCTGCATCGCGAGCCAAGAAAAAGCAGCCGCAGAATTTGCAGACTTACCAGAGAAGTGAAGTCACTGAGGGGAAAAAAAGCCACCACAGACTCCTCACCCAGCGCTGCCTCATATGTGTCTGCTCTTCTCCTGCATGCTCTGTGAGAAGGTCCTTTGGCTGAAGCCACATTCTGCCACTGGTGAGGGAGGATCTATTTGTGAAACATATAATTAAAACTGAAGCAGTCAAGAAGACACATTGTTCCATACACTATGCAGGCGTTGTAATAACTGACTCACAGTCTGTGCTTACTTTACTTTAAAAACAGTGATGAAACACTGACCACTTGCCGCTACTTATCTCGTGCCCAGTTTCAGTTATGAAAAATAATATTGGATTATATAAGAAACAGACATCCTGTCATGCATCATAAATAACCGTCCTCATCTTGCAGTTTTACATCGTGTCTGTGGACTAAACTTAAAGGTCCAGTGTGTAAGATTTAGGGGCATCTATAGGCAGAAAGTGTATATAATATTCATTGCTATGTTTTATTAGTTTATAATCACCTGAACATAAGAATTGTTGTGTTTTTGTTACCTTAGAATGAGCTGTTTTATGCCTACATACGGAGCGGTTCCTCTTGCACAGAGTCGGCCATGTTGTTTCTACAGTAGCCTAAAATGGACAAACCAAACATTGGCTCTAGATAAGGGGATTTGGCCTCTGTAGTTCTCCTGCATACACACACGCACATATATATATATATATATATATATATATGTCCCCAGTCTATTTACCACCCAGTCAGATAAATAAGTAATAAACCCAGTTTATTTACAGTCCAAGTACCACCCAGTGTTCCAAAATAAACATGCAATCTTCTTTAATCTTTTTTGTATAGTTTTATTAAATTAATTTATATTCGCGCTTTATTTCAACAGCAACAGACAAATACTTTTTGGTCCCTTTTCGAATTGTGTTGCAAGTCAAGAAAGTCACAGTCTGTCTAAGGTTTGTCGTAGCATCATTTACTTTTGTGCGAAACCACTCAGCAAACTACATCTCTCGTCTCACACAATAGATGTCCCAAATGCCAACATGGCCACTACCTTGGCACATTTCACTCCATTCTTTCAGAACAAGGGAAGAAGTATTACAAGAGGTGAAAATCATTAAAAGTCTGCCCATGTGGTGAGCTGCAGCTATGCCAGAGGAGAGTGAGTTGGTCCCGTAGAAGGTACAAAGCACACAGGCATGTTAGCTTTAATGAAAGAGAACGTCATGATGAAAGTTGTGTGTTTTTGGGTGTGTAATCTTTGTAATTACATATTTTCACAGTCTTTACTTCAACAGTTTGATGAAAGACTGACCTTATTGACATGCAAAATTATCATTTAAAGTGACAAAAATCATATGTGTAGTTCATGGCATGATTCAAACAAGGTCAAAAAAGTATGTCTTTCTTGCTGCTATCTAGCGCACATTAGGGTCCCATTATGTTCCACTGAAAGGGGGAGCTTTGCCTCTCCGTTTGCTTTCTTTGTTTCTATGGATAATTGGTGCCACTGTCAGTTATCTGTTCGTTAAATGAGAAGCTGCAGCCAGCAGACAGTTATCTTAGCTCTGCATAAAAACTTGAATTATGGGGAAAGAGCTGGTTTTGGATAAACTATAAGATATAAGCCATTACTGAGCTTTAGAGGTGCTGGTATGTGACCTCTGGACAGAGTCAGGCTAGCTGTTTCCCACTGTTTCTAGTCTTTATACTAAACTAATGCTGCTTATGGTACCTTCATGTTTAAGTGACACAGTCCTGTGTAACTCTTGTAAAACTAGTGAGTGTATTTCCCACAATGTCAAATTATTTATCCTCTAACATTTGTCTGATGAGTCATAATATTCTCCTCAACCCCAGAATCCATGTGTTGTGTCCATTGTTTCAAACCCATGCTGTGTGGAAACATACTAAGTTTATTTCAAAATCAACATAAGATCCTAAAGTTTCTCAAAATACTAAATATGTAAATATAAAGATTATATATTACTGTAAAAATCTGCATTAGATAATGCACAATGCTTGACTGAATGTCTGGAACAAGTAGATAGATGATAAAATGTGATGCTGTCAAACAGTGCAGGAAAATGTTTAATCTGACCCTGATGGGGAAGTATAGGGGATTTTTGTCTTGTTCTGTCTCGGAAACCATCAGCCACAAAGGACCAGTGTGTGCAGTGGACTTAATGGCTGTGCCTTTGACTGCTGGCCATTTACTGAAAAGCGTGGGAAGGCAGTGTTATCCTTTCCTGTGTGTAATTGCTTTAGGAGCCTTGCGAGAATAAGGTCTCCTTACAGGCACACAGTCCTCAGCAGAGCGGCAGCAGCAGCAGCAGCAGCAGCAGCAGCAGCAGCAGCAGCAGCAGAGGGGTTGGACTCTGTTAAACGCCCCTTGGCATGACCACGGCTGTGTGGTATTTATTTTCTGTCCAGAAATATGACCTCAGCCAGGCTACGAGCTCAGTCTGGGCTCCATCAACATCGCCACATTCTTGGGCTGCCGTCGTTCCCCCTGCACACCCCACTGCTGCGTCCTGTAGGAAGGAAAGGCGGAGTCACACAGTCCCTTCCTCAAGAGTCACCTAGCGTGCACGGGCGGGAGCAGAGGTAGCCGGTGTGAGGGTAGACCACAGTGTGCCTTTGATTGCACGTGTGCACGTCTCACAGTGACGCATTTAGCACCGGTAGTTATGATCCTGGATGAATTAAAGGGAAACTGATTCACAATGATGAGGCATTCAAGTCATTCTTTCTCAGTGATGTCAAGGGCAAAAGAATAATGATGATTGTTGGAAAATTGTTCCACATTTCACAAATGAAAGAAATGCACATGCCGAGATGTGTTGTCACTGTCAGGGGAAAAATGCCACTTCAAAAGAGCAGTCACATCAATGAATTTACTCCTCAAATCTAATTTATTATGTAATTAATTAGTGTTTGATTAGCATTGGTGTTTGTAACTAACTCATTTATTTCAAGGTGCAGTACAGTAATAGCAGTTTGTATCTGAGACGTCACACTAAATGTAAATAGTACCAAGCTCAAGCTACTTAAGTCTGTTTTGACATATTCCGGTTTTCATCTCCAGGCTCCTAAAACCACTCCGAACTTCCATTGTTATTCCCGTCATGCAAAATCTTCAGAGAGGCTCATTTTGATGAGATCATCTGAAGCAGCAGATACACTGACTTGAGGAAGATAATCACTTTATATAACCATTCTCTGGTTACCTTCAGTGACTCTCTTCGCAGACGCTGAAAAACCCTTCCGTCTCTACTTTATCCTTCAGCTTCTTTTTAAAACCAGCCACTTTTCTGCCTTTACAGCAGCGTGTTCGCCGTCAGATCTGTGTTCTTACTCGAGCAAGGCCATAAACGCCTCGTGTTTTACTTGAATAGTGCGTTTTCATGGATGCGACTGCTGAAAGCTCAAACCTACTCAAGGTGTGAGACGAGGAGCAACAGAAGAAATACGTAGAGTAGATTAAAAGCAGGATTGATCTTGAAAAGAGTGATTAAATTCAGAGTTGGACAAAAGCAATGACGGGGGTGGAAAGAAGAAAAGGAGGCTTTGAAAATGTTAACAAATAAAGAGCAAAGTAGGAATATGAGGAGGGAGAATAAACATAGGCATTTGCAGCGGCAGCACCAGGATAAGGAGTTAAAAAGGGCTACAAATACAAGTACAACCTCACTTATGAAAAAAAATTCTGCTGTTTTTCTGAATTCTGAACGAGGTCATTATCTCTTTATTTGTTATCAGAATTCTGAGAAAAGCTTTTTATGGGAATGATCTCATTTATTCAGAAAAACAAGAGTTAAATTTTGTTTCAATAAAAACTTCTCTCATAATTCTGAGGTCATAATCTCTCTAGTTCAGAAAAACACTGCAAATATGTTTCTGAAGAGTTTATTCGCACCCAGGTGAGAATAGACACACACCGTCCCTAAACATTATTCCCACTGAGTGCTGTAATTGTCTCGTACTCGTCATGTTAAAGTCTCATGGTCGGAAGCGTGTAGGATTAGCACAAAGAGGTCATAGTTAGGGCTAGTACTAGCCAATTTTGGATAATCTGTGAGATTAAAGTGGTAAATTTACAAGAAAAAACTCAGATGTACAGCCACAAAGTCACATGACGTGGTATAAAAAGCGACACAGCCGATGGAGGGAGGAGGACATGATGGACAATGGGTTAGGCACAAGACTTTCACACAGAAAAGTGGGGTTTGATTCCCATGTGAGTAATTATTATATATGGTTTTTATATTATGGTTTTTAGACTTAGTTGATTTAGTATTTTAAGTGAATGCAAATTGTATACGTGAACTTTGGCAGAAGAGTTGAAAAGACCTGTTTGTGTTAACATCATATTTTTTGGTGTTGCTAGGACGCCCAGGACTATACACCCCGGAGTAGTCAACATTGGCTACGGACACTCAGGGGCAACTAGCATCTGCCATATTACTTCCTTAAGTGAACGCACTAGACTTCTGTACATGAGTGCAATAACACATCAGGTGAAAGTAGAACCTGGAGTATTTTTAATTATAGAACTTGTAGTCCAGTCAATCTAACTAAAGATATTGCAATAGTAATGTTTCATAGTTTTTATTGGTCTGAATACCATCCTGTGTTATTTGTTAAAAGTGTACCTTCATGGATTTAGTGGAACATTCTTTTGTTAAGGTCAAAACAAAGTTTCAGCCTTTCACGGTTACATGATGTGGATGGAATGATGTTAATATTGAAGGGTCTGTGTACACCTAACCAACATATTTGGTGTCTTTTCTGAAGTTTTGGAGGTCAATCTTTTCAATAAATCACTTTTAAAGAGGATAATCTGATGTGTTGTACCTGTATTTCCACTTACAGTTTGTGGCACACTGCTCCCATGGGTGCATCCGCATCTAAACTGGGTATAAATTCCATATATATTTCGTATCTATGACATCATCATTCGTTGTAAGTTTGAGAGTTATATTGAGGACTGTAGTGCACGGGAGGTGAAGGGTTGGGTTCTATTAGCAACTTTTCTATTCACCTATTCTATCAGCATTTTTTCATCATCTTACTTTCTTCGTTTACTTAAAACAATTCATTTGAATTTGATAAATTGCAAAAGCAGTATGGAACACTGTGTCTCATGGTGATGTACTAGAAAAAGACATCCTCTACAGCTTAGATGGGACGGAATAGGAAACACATACAGTGCAATAGTGGAAACTTCTATTTGTTACAGTGGAAAACATTATGGGAAATCAGTGGTGATTGTGTTTTATGGGTCCAGTCCATGGAACTGGGTCAGAATTTGCACTAATTGGTACCACCCAGAGTGGCAAATTCAACTTTGGTATTGTGAAATGATACCAGATGATATTTCAACATAATAGCCATTCCCAAGTGGCAGCTTAGTCACAGATATCAACCTTCAAAGGCACCAGAAGTTAAACCAAAGACTAAAAAAGCCAAGGTATGTTTCAAGTTTAGTCTGAGTGCTGATATGCATCATGGTTTTCATGGACAAACAAATTTGTATGTGCAGAAAATTGAATGAAAATAACCTAATTTTACTGACTTTGTTTGGATTCAAAAAAAGGTCATTTTGGGGTAAGGATACCCCCTGACTGCACATTTACTTTCAGAACAGGTCATATTTGATTATCTGGTTATATGTGGAAGAACCTCCTAAAAAGCTAAACTTTAGACGTAAATTTTATGAAAGTATCATGTTCAGAAGCAAAGCTATGCACTTGAGCCCTGAATTTACCATAATCCACTAAGTATACAGAGGTATACTTTTAATATGTTGTTTAGATGTCCTAAGATATCACAAACATGCAAGTTTCCCTGGGTCAAACCACAGATTGCCTGGACTATTCTGGTACTTGTGATGGTATTATAATACGATGGTACCAGTCGTAGCAGTAGTAAAAGTTGTAGGCTACTAATTATAGTTGTAGGAGTGCTCTCAGTAACACAAGTACTGTTGTAGTTGTATTTAGTAACATTAGTTTTGTAATTTTCTTTATTAAAACCTTCCGTTTGCCTGTGTTTTGGTTCCAGTGGTCCTGCAGGCCTGTGCTCTGGTCCTCTACCCGATCAAGTTCATCGACGGAACGGTTCTCCAGACCTATCACGAGTTCAACTGGGGCTACGGGCTCGGCTGGGGAGCCACCATCTTCATGTTGGGCGGAGGGATCCTCTTCTGCCTGCGGACGGACATATACGAGGATGCCATGTACTGAGTCCTTTCTCCAACCCCGCCACCCCGCCACTGGAAATATACACACATAAACATCCACACACACAGAATTCCCATACAGGAGGTGTGCTACTTTCTTCACTTCGAGCACAGACCCTGTCTCTCTCCCTCTCTCTTGCTCTCTCTGTTATTTTTAGACAGGTTGTGAAGGCCTAATTTAGGCCAGAGCTGTATGAATAGGAGCCCCACACCACCCCCTCCTCCCATGCAGTCAGCGGGTCCCTCAGCCCTGCCGGTATCAGGGATGAGGTGGCAAAGCTAAAGCGCAGAGAGCTTTCTGGACAGGCGCGAGCCACCGATGCTGGATGTTTCCACCGCACGTTGACCTGGATCTCTATTGTTAGAGAAACGGGACAGTAGATCCTCAGCACAGACCTGAATGTGCAGTGACTGAACATTTAAAGGGACTGATTAACTCCACATTTCCTTTTTTTTTTTTTTTTATTCTTTTTGTAGCATTTCATGAAGACAAGCTTGTTGTTAATGTATTTATGGCTTACACTTTATAAATATTGAAATACCTGAACTCTTACCCTCCTCCGTGTGTTCTAGCCGAAACATATCTACTAACGCTAAGCCTTCTGATATTAGAAGAAGTGTAAATTAGACAGCTTCGATATACGCTAGAGCTCTCCAGTGTTTATAGTTTGTTTGCAAACTCACACTAGTTTGTCTCAAATGGAAAAAAAAATGTAAATGTGTACAAAGTATTTCTACATGATGGAAAATCCAGAATAAACAGTTGTAGTTTTGGGAGTATTAGGAGTGTGCATTCATGTTGTTTTTCTCTCTGACACCAGCAGTTCACAAACTCACCTCTGACAGGATTTTAAGAGGGGGAGCGTCAGGGGTGCCCCCTTTTTTTTGGACTGAACAGCAATGAGACAAAAATGCAAAACATTTTCATTATCCACAACCCACATTCCTCGGAGGTAGCCACCCAGGGCTATTTAAAGAGATAGCCCCAGGTTGCTAGTCTGCAGCTAGTCGATGTGTGAAATATGACGCATTAGTCAAAGCATAATGAGCAACATAAAACATTTTATTACCAACCTAAAGACACATTTGTTGCAGTTAAACTTTATAACTTCCTCTGAGATGATCTGCATATTTCATTTAATTATCTGGGACATTTTTACAGCCATTTGCTTTTCGTGGATAAATGAGCTCACTGCGGGCTGAAATTCAAATCACAGCAACCATTTATTGTAAGACAAAACAAAAAAGGATCACAAGATAGCTGTAGGTAGTGTAGTCTGCTAATGAAAGCCACGTTTAAAGAGATCTCTGCTATTTCCCTGGGTGCTTGGTGTAAAACAGAAGGCACTGTCACACCCGAGCAGCCTGGTGTGAAGTTTCCCTGCACGCACTTTCTTTACCCCCCAGAGTTCAAACCACAACAGCTGGTTGAAGAATCTCTGGAAAAGGAGCAAACAATTTACCCAGCTGCAGCCGTGTGAAAAGTCCCCAGCTGTGGACAATATTTACACCCGAATCACCACCATATCAACACGACTGTGCCCTGTCAGCCTTACACTCGGTGTAATGTGGTGTGTTGAGTGTGTGTGGCGCCGGGTCAGTGGTTGTCTTATAATAGCAGCGACCTCTTGGGAATCTTTCAAATGTGACTCACGTGTTAAAGGTGACGTGGTGGAGGGCACACAGACGTGAACACGTTACTTTTTCATCACAGAGACACATACAGCATGTTGTCTTTAGTTAAACATTGGTGGAGAGTGCAAAGTGAAAGTTGTTTTGACAGTGACGGGACACTTCAACAGAGTGGAACATTGACTCAGGACATTAAAAACACATTTATTCTACTAGAGGAACATTTTAAACCTGCAAGAATGTACACAGTGTACCAGCCGATTCACGTGTTTCTTAGAGCAAGATTTATTTGCCTTTATTTGGCAGGAGAGGATTTTTAACGTTTTGTTGTGTTGTTTCGGGTCAAAGGTCAAGGTGCCAGCACTCCACCCACAGTTACTGATCTCTTCTTGTATTACATGCCACCGCATAGGCCAAGTGAAGAGAAATACGCACTTAATATGCACATCTTGCTCTGTTTACTTGCTCTTGCCTCCATGAGTATTATGTTTGACCACACCCACACTATTCACGCTAACGTCTTCCTCCATCTAGTGGTCAAACATGATACTGTCACTGTGCTTGAGAGACTTCAAAACCTGAGAGCCAAAATTAATGTTAGGATTCTGTCTCTCTAATAGTCAATCACTAAAGTGTTTGATCCAAAAACAGTTGTGATTCACTTTGGTGTGTTTATCTTGATTTTTATTTACTCTCAGCTCTATAAAAATACACAAGTGGAACAGAGAGAGGAAAAATATACAAGTTTCATATGACTCATTTAGTTTTTCTTTGTTTTTTCAAAGATAGGCAGGAAGACGAGCGTTACGCCTGCATTCAAATATAGCATACGTCACCTTTGAGGTTGTTCTTATTCAAATAAGAAAGACCTGAAACATCAACCCAAAAACAAATTATAAAAGGAGCTGTATATGACATTTCAGAGCATATCTGTGATTCTGAGCCTGGGCTGGGATTGTCTGCAAATGGCTCTCAACATGGAGGTGGCTGAGCTGGCCGCTATCAGCTAACGATGCCAACAGCACTAACAGTTACGGAAACAGTGGTAACAAAGCTAGCTGTGTTAGGTGACCAGAGGATTAGCATTATGCTTCCACAACAATGTCGTTCTGCCACCCTGGATCAGGATGTATGAGTGGAGTACAGAGCAGGGGAGGTTAGTGAACACGTGGGAGACTCACATGCACCGACATGCATGCGCAGCTGCAACAAAGACCAGAGAAGCCCATATTAAAACACGCACACAGAGGGAGCCTGACCTCAGTCATTACTTAGGACGCCATTACACTACTATATCTGTACATAGCAAATAGCAGTTTGCTGCTACATTAATATTCTGAATCTCATATAAAGCTCTGTTAATAAATATTGATTCAACAAATTTTTAAAGTCATGCAGCTGAGGATAACTCTGTGCCTCTGCAGCTGCTGCTTCATGCTCTCATCTCTGAATACTTTGGACATGATAGCAGCTTTTCCCACTACAGCGGAGGTTCAGCACAACTCTTATTGTATGTCAGCAAAGGAAACAAACCAAAGCAAGAAAAATCCTTCACCCCAGCTGTTGGACGGACATCATATTTAGTCACATTGGATTATAAATCTCAAAGCAGTGAACTGTAGTGAGGATAATGATATGGCCTTGTGGAGAGAAGTCTGGCCCCTGGGCGCAGTAACCAGCCAGGCCCTGCACTCTTTGACTCTGCAGGGACAGATTCCAGTTACTGAGCCCGGGGGACAGAGACAAAGATGGGCTCTGACGTCCTGGTGCCTGAGGAGGGAAATGATTGTTTTAGTGAGTAAACGATTGTGCAGAGATGTACTAAAAATCCATGATATGTATTTATAAATGCAAACCTGAAGTCGTCCAGCTCCTCCTGTGATCCTCAGCTGTGGACGTCCTCTGCAGACTACGGTCAGACGAGTGAGGCAGATAAATGGACTGAAAAGTAACACCTGGGCTATACATTACCCTCCGACCAATCCTCTATCAAGCTTGGCTCCACCAAAATTACATATTAACCTGAAAAAAGTTACTTACTCCCCTGCAGTCCCCCTGAGTCCTGTTAACCCCACATACTGCTCCTGTAATGAACACCGTGCACTGAAAATCAGGTGTGAATACAACAGTCAGATCTCTTGCATAAATCATTCTCAACTCAATCATATTATCCATTATCTTCTGTTTTGTCATGCGGGAAAGGGTGCTTCATTTGCACAGCAGTCCAAATCATCTTGGCAGTTCCCCATGGAACAAAACTTTAAAATATCAGTGTGAGTGCATCTTTAATAGAGTTTCCCTCATTTATTCTCTACTGAATAATCACATAAAAACTCTGTCTTGTTACCAAGAAGTAAAATGAAGGAAACAAGAGAGACACAAATACATGCACATGGACAGTTGGGTATGAACGAGGCAACCTGGTGTGGGAAGCAGTCAGCTGCCTATCTGACCTTGTGGATGTCAGTGAACATTGGATCAAACACTAAAAAGCAGCGGTCAGCCTGCAGCCAGATGGTCACTTTCCCAAGAAGAAAGAGTGTATCATGCAGTGGAAATTCTATATTTAATGTTCGCTTGAACTGCAGATTGATCCCTTTCATGAGCTTTATATAAAGTGTCAACAGAAAAGTAAGGAGCATCCAGTAGAAAAGAACATGCACACTAAATCAGAGCTTCTTTAGGGTTTATTGGCAATGTTTCAATCCAACTCTGGTCTTCCTGCAGATAAATACCCGCACATAAAGGTTAATGAGAGATCCTGTACATAGCAACCAGAATCAGAATCAGAAATATTTTATTGATCCCTGAGGGGAAATTGTGATTTGTTACAGTCCCTCCAATGTAAAGAATAGAGAATTATAAGAGAAAATATGATGATATATGAAATAGAAGTATGTAACTATAAAGCAATAAAATAAGATAGCAATGAATATGTACATTAAGATAAAAAATAAAAATAAAATGTGCATCATGCTACAGTGTTTAACACAAGTAGTAAAGTACTGAAATATTAAAAGTAGAATACATATCGTCCCTGTGCTGAGGCTGTAAGTGTGAAATTTAACTACAATATACACATCAATAGAATAAACAAGAACAGAATAAAAGTAAACATAAGAAATATGTGCAGTTATTTGTAAGCTAAAGTCGTACCAGTGGCGTAATAACCACATTCACATGTGCCAGACTATTCAAACCAAAAGTTAAATGAAAAATATTAATATTAACAAGTGTAAAAAATTTAAATAAGATGTATTTTACACAGTCATTTAGTCCAAAAGTCACAAGAGAATCCACTGAAAAAAAAGTTACAGTCATTTTATTTATGAACGTGCTGGGTGCTATATATTATCTGGACACTAGAGGGCGACAAGAGCTCTACTAAAATTCAACTGTCACCTGTTCCTAACTACAGAGAGTATATAGACTTAAAATCAGGTTATCTACATAAATAGACCTTTTTCAAAGCAGACATTTTGACTTGTCATAGTAGAAAAGCACAGGTGTATTTAATAACATTAATGATGGCTGCATTCCACAAGTGGAGGCCCTGGTGTTGTGCATACTGACTCACTGGGACACTGCTAATTCCCCATGAGCCATTGTTAATGTGATCACTTTCACCTGTGATTTTCCTGCTGTGAGGAGTCCATTAAGTGAACATCATGACAGATTATTTTACCATGCATACTGGCACTGTGCCATGTAGAATATACACTCACTTTATTAGGTACTCTTGTTCAACTGCTCATTAATGCAAATAGCTGATCAACCAATCATGTGGCAGCAGCTCAGTGCATTTAGGCAAGTAGACATGGTGAAGACGACCTGCTGAAGTTCAAACTGAGCATCAGAATGGGGAAGAAAGCTGATTTAAGTGACTTTGAACGTGGCATGGTTGTTGGTGCCAGATGGGCTGGTCTGAGTATTTCAGAAACTGCTGATCTATTGGGATTTTCACACACAACCATCTCTAGGGTTTTCAGAGGATGGTCCAAAAAAGAGAAAATATCCAGTGTTGATGCCAGAGGTCAGAGGAGAATGGCCAGACTGGTTCAAGATGAAAGGCAACAGTAACTCAAATAACCACTGGTTACAACCAAGGTCTGCAGAAGACCATCTCTGAACCAACAACACGTCCAACCTTG